TGTCCTATAGCCTCCGCAACCACTGTAGCGTCGGACCCACTCTCCCTTGCCCATTGCATATCTGGGGTAAAGAAGGAACAGCCATATTTCTGTAATAATTCCTCTATTAGCATCCTGACAACTACGCCAATTAAAATTTCACGGAATCGCACCTAAATGGCTACACGCACACAAATAATGAACTCAAACAACCTTTAATCTGCAACTGAAATGAAGCAGACAAAACTTCATTCACCAAAACAACATCCCACCGACATTTAACAAATACAGGTTCGATATGCTGGTTGGCAATGTTACCACACGCAGCTGAGTTAAGAATTCTTAAGTTTTTGGCCAAATGATCCAAAATGTGCACTCACTCACTCACTCACCAAAAAGGGAGGGCTCTCAAGCTCCAGAAGTTTCCTTAAGTGGCGTTCTCACTCAAGGAGAGAGTCCCTGACTGCAGACCCGCTGCTCCGAGGAGGACCAACTCAAATGAGTCCTCCGGCGGGGCCTCATTTATACCCTGGTCGAATCTGATCTGTGGTCAATCCATGGTCGTGTCAGCCCCTATTGGCTGAGGACCCCAACTTTCCTGCCTTTGACCCCCACTGTGTGGCCCAGACATGAGCTGTGAGGGGGGAGGCAGTCCTGGTGCCTCCAGGGCCAGAAGCTTTAGCACTGTCTTTGTTGGGTCTTTAGTAGGGTGGGTGCATCTGCCACACAATCCACCCCATGACCACAGTCAGGATTCGACTGGTTTCCTTGGAGTGGTGCTACAGTCACCTCTTGCCTCCAAAGTTGTGGAGGAGCACAGGTTGCACTGCAGAAGGTTGACCCTTCTCTCCACCGCCTTTGCTGGCTCCCTGCTGGGTTTTAAACTGGTGAAAATCCCAGCCCTGCTCCCCTCCAACAGCATCTCTGTCACAGTCTGGGCTGCTGCTCTCTGTCCATGCTTAGAGACCAGGGACCTCACTGGTGCCAAGTGCTGCAGAGCCCCTCCACACCTCATGACACACACGAGAAGGATGTGCTGGTGGGGAAAGGTTGCCAGCCAGCAGACCCAGCTTTAGGCACGGTGCTCAGGACTCCCATCTGAAAACCAGCCCCAGCATTGCACAGTCAGACGTCGCTGGATGTGGATGCTGCTGGATGGGAGACTCAAAATCTCTCGACTCGTTTCAGTGAGACCCAACATCTCTCCTACTCCTTTGAGTGCTGCGTCCTCTCGTCACTCTGTCCTCCTCATTTCCCTTCCCCTCCCCATTTTTCCCCTAAACACCCAAAATCAGGACTTGCTCTAGTGAGCTGTGACCTGCCTGGACATAAAACCAGCTATTAAATAAGGTCAAATGCAAACAGAATGGTCAAGCCCATGATTAATAATTAAGAGGCAGGAAGGTGTAAGCCAGCTGAAAGCCTGCTCAGCACTCAGGGATCACGCAGGATCCAGCCAAGGCAGAGCCTTTCGCTCAAGGTCCCCAAGAAGGGACCCACCACCAGCTCAGTGGCCCCCGAACAAACAAAGGTTCCCCCCAAACAAAGGTTCCCCCCAACAAAGGTCCCACTCATGCACAAGAGTTCTGTGGGCCAGCCACATGTCAGACGGGCTGTGCAAAGCGGTGGGGAAGGACAGTGGTTGTCGCGTGCCCTACTTGGGAGTTGGCTGCGTCTTCTCCTGCAGACTGGTCCTCGGCAGGAACAAGCCGGCCTGCTTCCGCTTCTTGTGTGGGTGCTGAACAGCGTAAAGGTAGGATGTGTACTGGAGCTCTGGCAGGACCATCCTCTGGCAGATCCTGAGAGTCCTGTTGTCCAAGTCTTGCTTGAGGTTGTAGCCAAGGATATTCGCAGCCCCTGACTGGAAAGGCAGAAGAGCTTTGTTCTTGATATGATCCTTCCCCACTGCCTCTTGGTCTGAGAGACAGATCTCCATGAGCTCCTTCTGTCTTGTTCGCAGGCCATTCACCTCCTTCTCCAGCTCCTCCAGGCCTATGGTCTCCTCAATTCTCCTCCAGAAGCTCTGGTTGAAGTGCTGGTAAAGCTTCCAGTCCAGAGAGCACCACACCTTTATCCGCTCCTTGCTTTCTGGAGTCAAGGTCTGGACAGTGTCCTGGCTTCTGGAGTTGAGCTTGAAGTAAATCACATCATCCAGATCCCAGCACAAAGCGTGCTTCAAGAGGATCATGGACTCATCAAAGTAGTCTGCTATCAAGATCAGGTGGAAATTCTGTTCAATCTCCTTCAAGACTGCCTGGACGTACTTTTTATTGTCCTCTGCATTGTTATTGTAGCCAAAGTCAAACCACATGATATTCCTGGCGTAGATGTTTTGCTTGTATGCTTCGCTGTGGTAATACTTCATGGGTGATGCCAGGTACTCGTTCACATCCTTGGAGATCCTGAAGGCAGGAACATCGTCCTTGTAGTAGATGTAGGAAGACTCCAGCTGAGGAATGGGGTTCCTCAGGATGGAAAAGTAGAAGGTGTTGGGTGCCATCACCTTTTGTACCTGTTTGCAGGGAGGAAGAAGAGAGGCTGTCAGTCTGGAGGCACTGCTTGTTCAACCAGGTTTCTCTGCAGGTGTCGTGGCTCTTTCTTACCTCTGAGCGGTTAAACCGCAGGTGATTGGACATGATGTTGTAGTTTTGTCCTATGGTTTGAAATCCCTCCACAAAGTGGGCCAGAAAGGTTTTTGGGTAGCCCAGGTGGAAGTGCTGGTCAGCTGGGAGGGCGACGGTGAGGTTGTACCTCTCCGCAAACCTGAACATGATGTTCAGGATGGTGCTGCTGGCCGTCTTGTGGGTCTTGAGGAACATGACGTTGGTCTTGGCACGGCAAGGTGCAGAAGGTATCAGCAGTCTCTCGTGGCTGTTTGAGATTCTGCAGGAAGGCAACAGATGGGGAAAAGCAGCTTCTCCAGTGCCGTCCCCCACCTCTGAGACCTGGCAAAGCCAAACCCCAGCAGGTTCTCCTGCTGATACCCCACCCACAGCTGGTGCAAGGCACCAACCCAAACAAGCCCCATCCCTCAGGCGTAGATGTCGGGACAGTTTTCTGCTTCTCCAGATCCTCACTTACCCAAAGGCTTCAGCTCAATCTCCTTTTCTTTTTTCCATGCAGCTGATTTTGCTCCAAAGAGCTGTGCTTTGGCTAGTTTGATCCCTTGCCTGCACAAATGTGGACCTACAGCCTAGTGTTGGGCTGCTGCCCTTCCAATATTAGCCTAAAGCCCATGAGAGTTACATCAACCATCAGAGGTCAGATCCTTGCTGCCCTGGGTCACACAACCTGGCTTCTGCTTCACTTACACATCATTTTTATTCTTCAAATGGAAGAATCCTGACAGGAAGAAGATTCCCAGGCAAAGGTTGAAAACGATGAGATATCTGACATGCCTGGAAAGAAAGCAGAGTTTCAGAGGGTTTTCATCTGATAGCCCTTCCCCGAAGGCGAACCACCCAACTTTGCTTATTGCCTTCAGGAGTTTTTATCACCAGGAGGACAATTTCATGTCTCCATGGTACCAGCCGCCTTTGGCTCCCCTGCCTGTGTCAGCAGCTCTGGCATTAGAGGCAGGACAGTGTAAAATTGCACTTTCACCACCACTCTCCTACTTTTGAGCTTTGGCAATACACAGCCTACTTCAGGCAGAGCCTGCCAAGCTCTTCCAACAGCCTCCCGCCCTGCTCTGCTGCCTTTTCCCTCGCTTTTCTTTCAGTTTTCTCGGGCATTAGAGCTTATTCACTATTCAGTCTCCTAGTTTATTCACTAGAAAATGAGCCCTTTGTATGAGTATAAGCATTTCCTCGCTCGGGAACGGTGCCTGTAATCATATCACTCCACGGGAAGAGGATCTCAAAGAAACAGTAAACTGTTTTTTTTCAATATAACTTTTTTTTTCAATATAACCCAGATTTTTCAATACAGAAAAATGATTAATGACCCAACAGCACCTGTAATGATCTAATTACACCCTGCTTTCAAACAACGGGAGTGCTTCCCCACTGCAACAGCTCCCGCTCCCAGCCCAGCTCTCGTGCGTGGTCTCACCCAGGTCTCCCTTCCACCAGATCTCACCTTGGTCAGAATTTAAACTGCCCAAGCTCAGAGGCAGCCCTTTGGACCAACAACCGCATCTACCAGTGCTTTGCCTGGACAGTGGTGAGGGGTGAGTCTTTTCCAGCACTAATTAGGAAACCACCATTTATCACCAACAGTGTGTTCTAGCTGGGACAAGTACAGGACCTTTTGAAGTTTTGATGCCCACCAAAAGGGAACTTTCCATCACCAAGCTCAAACTGACTCCTCTGATCCCAAAAGCTTTTTTAATTCGGAGAGATTTCCATGTTTTCAGCTGCCCTTTCCAAAATGCAGTAGATCTGGCTTGGGCTTTATGTTGTTTTGAGAAGATATAGTCCCATTTACAGCATGGGATGGTCACAGTCATGGTTCCCACTCTCCCAAGTGAGCAAGGAAGGCTCCAAGCCTGCCCAGTCTGAGGGTCGATGGGGGCATGTGGCCTGATGCTGGCTGGACCTGGTGGTTCTGTCTACTGGCCTTCTGGCCAAGGGGTCGTCAAACATGGTCCTGCCACACAGGGTGGTGGCTTTCCCAGCCTCCAGCTTGTACCACATGAAAGACATTGAAGCAGTTCCTTCCAGTTGGCCTAGGGAGAGTGGTTTATCTGGCATGGCCTACAGCCTCCCACTGACTGGCCACAACATGACAAGCCAGGCTGTGATAGCCTGGATCTGGCCACAGAAAACTGGAGAGAGGATGGGAGCAAAGCTCAACTGCCCGTGAAGCGCTGCCCATGAAAAGAGCTGCTGTGGCCAGCTGTGCCAGCTGTGACCAGGGAGCCACAAACCAGGCCTAAACACAGTGGAAGCGTGGAGACAGGCAGCGATGCTACAACACTGCAATGGCACTGCAGAAAAGCGTCTGACTTTGCTCGCTACTCAAACCTGCCCCAAGCCGCTTTTGCTTCAAGCTTTGCTTTGTGTGAGAGCACTTCCCTTGTCCAACAGCATCCCAGCCAGAGTGGGAAATCCTCCGGCAGAAGAGTCCTTTCCAAAGCCAGGGCAGATCCTCAGACACTGCTGGTACCAGCCTCTGATGGGAATTTGCAACACAGCTTCCACATGAAGCGTTTCAAGACAGGCAGACTTTTATCAGTATTTCCTAATTTTTTGGTCCCAGACCTGTTAGAGGGGCAGGGATGAGAAAAATCCCCTTTCTATTGATCACTCTACGGATGTAGGTAGAGATGAGACAGGAGAAGACATGCAGCAAGCAGCCTCACATCTGTCAAACGCAGCGCCTGCCTATTTTCTCGGTCTGTCATTGAAACTGAAGCTGACATTGATGTGATGATTTTCCAAAGCACGTCACCCTACCTGCTAAGCCAGTCCAGCAACATCCTTCTTCTGCAGCTTTTCTGTAGTTTAATGTGTGTGATAATGGTCCATGCATCTGACTGGGTGGTGACCCCAAAACGGCAACTCAGACTGATGTTTTCTGGGGCAAACCAACCCGCACAGGCCTAAACCAACCCTGAAGATAGATCAGGATCATAAAATGCTCCAGAAGGATCACCAGTCCCTTCCACTGCAAGACAGGCTCTGTAGACCTGTACATCTTATCACCCCAAGGCTTCCCATGATGTTTTAACAGTCATTGACTTTAATAAGAGATTACATAGTGCTGCCCTGCCTCCAAATCTTCACACCCATGCAGCACTCTGAGCCCACCTCCAGCCTAACTGGATGCTCCCAGCAGACCTGTTTTATCTGAATGTGCTTCAAAAGCCCCAGACCACCACTGACTTTTGCACCTGGAGACACAGGGAGGGATGAGTCCGGATTATCTAGGCACAAAAGGCCTCCAAATGTTGCTGGTGCAGCACAAGGGACCTGTATTGCGGTGCCAAACACCAAACACTTGCCCTGTGGGCAAGTTACGGGCACAAATGTGCCACCAGTGAGCCCCGAGGGGCCTTACAGTTCTCACTCCCTCCTTGTAGCAGAAAACAGCAACCCACAGCCAAGTGGTGTCCACGCTGCCCAGCCTGGCTGAAACCACGTAGCTTCCTGGAACAGCCCATTTCAAGGAGCAGGAGCAACCGGTCCCAATCAGCTTCTTGTCCAGGGGGCCAAACGATGCTTCCTTCTGGCATGGTGCTTTTTCCCCCGCCTGGGGATGGACAGACGGATGGAAAGATATCTGCCCTTCTGCTCAGGGAGCGAGCACGGGTGGGGATGGGGAGGGGACTGCAGCCACCTCCACCCCCTGCTGCACCTCAGCTCAGCAATGGAAGTGCGCAGGGGAAGGGGATCAAGGTGATCACCACTGAGAGGTGCAGGGAAACGGAGACCAAGGAGACATGAGAGGAGGGGGTTGCAGTTACACAGGGCAGTGGTTTGTGTGCTTGGGGAGCCGAGCCCTGCACCTGATCACCAGGAAGGTCTTGTCCCCATCGCCCCCTGGGGCCTGGCCACCTGCAGGGGCTGTCACTGCCTTCAGCGTGTTCTACAAATGGGGGTCTCACCACCCATTCTGCACCCACCAGCCTGGCACACCTCTCTGAGAGCCAGAACCGCTCCTGAAGACCCTCAGCCTCACACCCCCAAAAGCTGCAAGTCTGTCCAAGCCACTTCTCGACCTCCACGCATTGGGCCAACAGACGTCATCTTAAATGCTGGCTAAAATGTCCACCCATATTTTAATCCCTTCAAGGAAGTTAAGGCCCACTCAGTTGAGAGCTATGTTGCTGTTGACTGTTTCGCTTGCACAGAATCACAGCCTGGTGGGGGTTGGAAAGGCCCTCTGGAGATCACCCAGTCCAACCCCTGCTGGAGCAGGGTCCCCGAGAGCAGATTACACAGGAACATGTCCAGGTGGGTTTCCAATGTCAGAGAAGGCTGAAGGTGAACAGGGCGAGCCTCTGGCATTCAGGAAATGGAATCTTTTATACAGACAGTTACAGTCATAAGCAGAGGGATTTCATAACCACGCCATGCATCAACGGGAGTGCAGAGGGCACGGCTCCAGTGATTTTTTTCCTTCCCTGCAGGACAGCGAAGTGCTGTCATGTCCTGATACCTTGGGGGCTTGAAGCCCGACGTAGCCGAGAGTCGCAGGGTATGATCAGAGCCACTGTCCACTTTTTTCACCCCATTAATTCTGCCTTTTGCAAAACAAAGCTCAAGGAAGCAATGATTTGAATGCAAGACGCACAACCAGCCTGGCAGCCCTTTGAGGAAGCACTTGACTGCTAAGACATAAAATTCCTCTAAGAAGCCAAAAAACTTGAGGAGCTGTCAGCAGGGCTGGCGCCGGAGATTCAGCTTGCCTTTCCAACCTGCGCTGTGCTGTCTGCCAGCCGGGAAGAAAGCAGGGAAAGCTACCTCTCAGGTCACACTTGGTGGTACCACTATGGATGCTTTAAGGGACAACTTTCTTTATTTGGCTTAAGCTGAAAATAGCAGAAGCCTATGTCACCCTAGCAAGGTTCTTTCAAATTAAAAGACCTGGAATAGAGGAAAAAATCCTTTGTGGTGAAATTAATCTCTACCCTGGAGCAAACTGCAACTCTATAGGTTATTAACAACTTAGAAGGGATTACCTGAACCAGACCTTTCTACAAACAGCGTTTTAATTCTGCACCCGTTGCGTTCCCCTCCCTCTCCCTGTACCTTGAAGCGCACCCAGGGCTTTTCATGCTGCCTCACTGGAAGCTTGAAAAATCTCTCCTTTGCAAATCGACTCCAATACTCCTTTCGTCTCTGGGCTCCTCCAGCTCTTAGCGTGCGCGTCTCTATTTCCAGCATCCCCTTGCTGCTATAAATGGCTGGGATAGGTGAGGACGAAGGGAGTGGCTAGGTGTTCCCAGGAGTGGGCGTAAGTTAATTAATAAGCCGTGAAAATCGCCGCTAGGGCCTGACATTAAGAGCAGTAGAAGGAAGCACTGCCTGGGGGGACGGGGTTTGCAACAGGTTGGCAGGGAAGTGTAGGTTTAGTGAGGACCCCTTAGTGGGGACCCTGCTGCCAGGAGTGGAGCATAGGGGACTCACAGCAGGGCCCAGGAAGGGTGCCAGTGGCAGGGCTCTGCAAGAGGGCATCGTGGGCCCCTTTGTCACCCTGCGCACCATCACAGCACTTGTTTGGGGCCCCTTCCCAGCACTGCCACGCTGCTCGGCGCCATGGTCAGTGCTGTCCCTCCGCATCTCATCTTGCTCTGCAGTTTAGGATCGTAATTGTCTGCCTACCTTTGCCAACAGGAAATTAGGGACAAGAATGAAATGGGAATAGTGTTCACGTATCAGGAATTTCCCTTAAAATCTTCATGTTTCAGATTCTTTCCCAATGAAAATGCAATTATTGTAGCTGGAGGTTAAGAGCATAAAAGCAACTTTGCTGTATTTTGGCCTTGGGAGAGAGAGGTCCTCCCCCTAAACAGGTGTAATTTTATAGTTTGTCTACAAAGTGACTTTCCGGTATCATTAAAAACCATTATAACCCACATCACACAGGAATCTGAGACTCCACCAAGGCTCCTGTATGCCAGCGTTTCACAGACTGGGTTTGATGGTCGCAGACTGCCCCAGGAGAGCAGGATTTGCCCTGCAAGTCTGGAGGTGAGGTAATCTCCCCATCGCCCACGTTGAGGATGAAGTTGATGCTCTCCACATCTGAGCAATAAACAGTTTACCCACATCTCACAGGCCGGAACAGGCTCCTTCACCTACATTGCTAAGTCTTCAGAGCGCCCAACTATACAGCATTTCTTTTTAAACTGCAGCTTCCCCAGGCCAGCTCCAGCTCCAGTGCCTATCAAGATTCAGAGATTAGCAAGGTATAGGGTTGCTTTCCTTGAGTTTCTCGGCAGAACGTGAGCCAATGCGCTGTTTTACAAATAATTTCTAGGGTTACTCTTGGCAGAGTGTCAGCTGCTGCTGGCAGGGGGGGTCACGTTTAACAGATTTCTTTTTCCTATTACATTACACACGTCAACCGTGCAATTTCTTGTTTGGAAGGTGGTCGAGCCCATGAATCACAGAAGACCATTTTTTACACGATTACAATTGATTCATTGCTCTCTCCTGGGGTGTCATACACAAATCGCCAGGTTTGGTTTATGACGCAGAAAACCACGGTGCCACGCAGAAATATTTGGCTCCACGTGGGGCTGGGCTGCTCTGAGACTGGAAGCAGCAAAGGTCAAGGCAGCTGACGCAGCCAATGCAGCCTCCATTAGCCGATGCTGAATTAATAGCTCCGTATTGCCTCCAGCCCCAGCAGGCTCGTGGCCCCGCTGCAGGATGCGGAGGAGAATCAGGAGGGTAAAAGTGCAAAAAACTCGCAGGTTACGGTAAAAGCAGTTTAACACGTAAAGGAAAAGCCACGCGCGCAAGCAAAGCAAAAGGAATTCACTCAGTGCTTCCCATTGCAGGCAGGCATTCAGCCATCCCAGGAAACGCTGGGCTCCATCGCACACAACAGCGATTTGGGAAGGCAAAATGCAGTAACTCTGAATGCCCCCACCTTTTCCTTCTTCCCCAGCTTTTATTGCCCAGCGTGATGCATAACCCCAGCTCCTCGCCGGTGGGGCAGGGTGAGAAGCAGAAAAGACCTTGGTGCTGTGCAAGCACCGCTCAGCGACAGCTGCAACATCCCTGAGTCACAAATACCAACACACAGCGCCATGCCAGCTACTAGGAAGAAAATTAACTCTGTCCCAGCCAAAACCAGTCAAGGGCTTCCTCGCTGTGCCAGAAGACCAACGCTTCAAAGTGTTGAGCAGCCACATCATTCTAATATTTAACTCTGTCCCCCCCAAAAAAATAGAATTTTGGACAAGAAATTCTTATCACAGTGATTTTTTATAAACATACACCCCCCACACACGTGTACTTACCCTGCCTCTCCCTCCTATACACAACAGTGAACTGGTATGTGAAAGCACCACTGAGAACGTGAAAGAGAAAGATAACACTGGTGTTTAAGGCCTAGGAAAGATAGTATAAAATAACCCTACGATAACTCCTCCCTTCTGTTTCCCCAGGGTAACTGCTCAGTTGTTTAACTGAAATGGTAAACTTACATGGAGCTTAAGGATCTTCCTGTGTAAAGAAGACCGGTAAACGTAGCTGGGCCCGAATTTCCCTGGCCACAGCACTGGGCTCTCGCTCAGCCCTGCCCTCCCTACCACCCTCTCCATATGTAGCTGAAAAAAGCAGTATGGAAAGTTCCGCTCCCCAAACAGAACCATTCACGTGTAAAGCCTGTGTTTTAAACAGTAATTGTCAGTGGTTTGAGCCCTGGTGGGGGCAGAAAGAAAGAATGGCGTAGGGAAAAGGCAGAGAATATAAACAGCCTGGTCTGGAAAGAACGAGCTGCATCAGCTGAACTTGGCAGAAAGCAAATCCTGTACATTTCTTCTCTAACAGCGTCACGGACTTTCCGTATTTTTGCACCACCTGACACCCAAACACTGCAGGCTGACTGCACGTCACAGCCCTCCTCAGGAAGCTGCAGGGAGCGATGAGGTCGCCCCTCAGCCTCCTTCACCTTGGAGAACGAGACCAACCCTGAGTCAAAAGGATCGTTCCATATTCATCAGTGACTCCTAAAGGTACAAAAGATACGTCCAAACATCCCTTAGCCTCCTGCAAGCCCCTGGCCAAACCACATGGACACACAGCGCAGGTGACGCACACTTGTGAGAGGGCGTGCAAAAGTGACGAGAGAATGAACACGCGTGGAATCAGCCTACTTCAAAAATAAGATCACTCTCCTCTTCCATTAGATCTTGTGCTGACTTCTGATACTTTGCTACGCCACCATCTTCTTTCTCTTGCCCTCCTGCTAGGAAAAAAACCCCCAACTATTTTTTTTAATGCATCTTCTGCAATCACGAATCCCCCTGAATGCCGGACTTGCTAATTTTACTTTCCTACTCTTTTATTTTCCCAATTACTCCCAGATCTTCCAAGCTGCTTTTGTGTAACAGCTGCCTGAACCGTTCTGTGGCCTCACCAATGCTGGATGTGCTGCCAGTCTGCCCTTGGTCAGGGAGCCTCAGAACCACCTCCACCAGTCTGAAACACCAGCTCCTACCATGGCAAGTGCTGGTATGTACTGAAACCTTTTGCCTTAACATCCCACACACACAGCACAGAGAAAACTCTGGAAAATTTTACCATAACTGTGCTGGTTTGTGCTGGGATTGAGTTAATTCTCTTCACAGCAGCTGGTACAGGGCCACACTTGGGATTTGAGCTGAAAACAGTGTCGATAACACAGGAATGTTTTCATTATTGTTGAGCAGTGCTTGCACAGCGCCAAACCCTTTTCCGCTCCTCAACGTCCCACCAGTGAGCAGGATGGGGGTGCACAAGAGGGGACACATCTGGGACAGCTGACCTAAGGGATATTCCATGCTTATGGAATACCAAGCTGGGGGAAGGAGGAGGAAGGCAGGGGATGCTTGGAGTGATGGTGCTTGTCTTTCCAAGTAACGGTTGGTTACACATGATGGACCCCTGTTTTCCAGGAGATGGCTGAACACCTGCCTGCCATGGGATGTAGTGAATGAATTCCTTGTTTTGCTTTGCTTGTGCGTGCAACTTCTGCTCTATTAAACTGTCTATCTCAACCCACGAGTTTTCTCACTTCTACCCTTGCGATTCTCCCCCATCCCACCAGTGAGCGAGCGGCTGTGTGAGGCTCAGTTGCTAGCCCGGTTTAAACCACGACACACTGTCATCTCCACCCACCCTAATCCAGTTTGCCGCTTGGGAGGGATACAGGTTTTACCCTCCACGAGAGCAGATCAGGACTTGCCAAAGACAGGCTGGAAGAGAAGGAAGCAGGAAATAACCAGACAGACACGCTGGGATCCCCTCACCCTGGCTGCTGGCATTTCCCCTCCAGTTGATGCTACCACTGGGCACCCTCTCTTCCCTGGCCAGTCCTTCCAGGACTGCAAACCTGCACCTGGGACAACACTGATGCCTACAGGGGACAGCGTGCGGGTGGCATCACTAAAAAGGCCATAACCCAATGCTGTTGTGTGCTTTTGGACAAGCATGTTAGACCAAAACGAGCGAGGAAGAGCAACATTTTCACTTGGACATGGTGGTAGAGCATCCACAGGTTCTTCTCCTGTGCCTTCGATCTTCACCTGCACACCCAAAGTGAGAAAGTGCCTCTTCTGTCTGGTGTCACTTCACTAATAAATCAGAGCAAACTAAGGGGAAAGAGCTGCAATATCCACACACAATAACTGCATGCTCTGTTTCAGGGTTCGGATTTAATAGGAAACCCACACACTCAAAAACACCGATGTCTCCTCTTCAGAAAAAGCAGGCACTCCTGACAAGAGGAACCACATTTCTTTACTTCTTTTATTTTAGTGTGATAAACACCAAGCATTCCCAGTGCCTGTCTGATCCGCCAGCTATGGCTAAAGTGCAGTTACTGAGCCAGCGATGACCATATCTGCTCGCCCCTCGGTGTGCGTTGCTCTCAGGGGCTGGAGGGCAGCGTCTTGTACGGATTGAGGATCCCCTTGGGGTCTAACATGGCTTTGAAACGCTGCATTAGACAGACGGCCTTGCTGGGTTTGCTGTACTGGATGAACTGCTTTTTCTTGAAGCCCAGTCCGTGCTCTGCACTGATACTGCCATTGTATCTTGCAGTCCACTCGTACACAAACGGCTCGATGGCGTCCAGCAGGGAAGGGCTATAGGCCTCTGCTGTGATGTTCAAGTGCAAGTTTCCGTCTCCTGGAAAAAACATTGCAGATGTGGGTCTGTAAGAGTAAGCCAGTGGCCCCACCATGGAGACTCATTACTATCTCCTCACGTACTCAAACAACGGTGTCTTTGTTAGTCTCCAAACTGTGGAAAAAAGGCCAGGTTCACTCACCTTCTACAAACACCAGGCCTCTCCTCACAGAAATAATTCAAATAGTATCTTTGTTTTATCATGCTTTCAGTACAGTATTTGAGGAAGCTACTTTCAAACACCCACTCTCGTGATTTTCAAATTCAAACAACTTTGCTGCATTACTATTGTCCCAGCACTGAGATGGCATGCCAAAGACTTCCCCAGTGGCATTTCATAATGATCACTAGATATTAATATGGCCCTTCACCACTTTTTCTCTCCTTATTATGTTTGTGCAATGTTCTAAATGCACTTTGGCACCGTGTCAACAGAAACAAAGCAAGCAGAACATTTTCTCCTTTTGCCACTTGTGTGTGATGGTATTTGATTAAGCACATAGTTGCGGGGTATTCGGAAGACAAAACACACAGAGATAACCACAACGTGACTCATTCTTACTCGAGAGCCTCTTTCTGCATCCCAGCAAACCCTCACGGTACACAGCATAATCCTCAATACCAAGAGCTACCAGAGGCAGCCTTTGTTAGGCAGACTTTCTTCCAATGTCTTTCAAATCTTCTCAAATCAAGTGTGCTGGAGAGCGTTCTTTTATTTTGTTTGGTTTTGTGTTTTGTTTGTTTGTTTTTAACAGAACACCTCTGCTAAAGCTACCAATTCACCTGCATGCAAAATCAAATTAATTTCAAAGCATTCTGACAAATGTACCGGCCTTTCTGTACATTACTTTTATCACTCTCTTTTGGAGGGTTAATGACTCAGACATAAGTGACTTCCAATAGGACTAATCACTTTGGACAAGAAAGTGTTTAGCTACCAAATGTGTCTAAGTACATTAATCAGATCGATGGTCCAATTAAACAACCTACATACTTAAATGAAAGTATGGAGCAAGAGGATCCCATTGACCAGTTCAGTGGCTGGCTGGCTGGCTACCAACCTGCCATTATTATACAGAACAGTCTGAAAGCAGTGAAATTCAAACACAAAGATCCTTATCCATCCTCCTCTTCTGATAGTTCTCAGCTATTTAGTCTATGCCTCTCACTAATCTAAAAACAACTTTTAAAACCACTAGGAACTTGCGCAGCAAAACCTGAAGCACAGAAGAGCAATCGCCTCCCCTCCCAGCATCTACACTTACCCAAGTGGCCGTAGCCCACCACATTTTTGGCGCTTTGGCCCAGCCGAGCCCTTGTGTCAGTCACAAGATCATACAGCTTTGTCACAGGGAGTGAGATGTCGTATTTGTAGACACAGCCATCGTGAGTGAGGGCCTCTGTGATCCTCTCCCGCAGGCTCCACAGTGTCTAGGGAATCAAAGAAACCTAAATAAACCAAGTACGCCTTGGGTTCCATGCCTGTGGCATGGAGGGGAAAAGAGTCTTGATTCTTTGCATATAACGTCAGGTTCTGATTTCCTTTGATGCCCTCTGCCATTGGCAATCTTGGCCACCTGGGCTCACTGGTGGTTCATGTTCAGCAGCTGTTGACCAACACCCCCAGATCCCTCTCTGCCAGGCTGCCCTCCAGCCACTCCTCCCCACGCCTGTAGCGCTGCATGGGGTTGTTGTGACCCAAGTGCACGACCCGGCACTTGGCCTTGTTCAATCTCATCCAGTTGGTCTTGGCCCATCGGTCCAGCCTGTCCAGGTCCTTCTGCAGAGTCTTCCTGCTACCACAGCTACCAGATCCCTCAGTGACATTTATAACAAACATCAGTCTGAATATTTCCTTATTAAAAATATAAATCCAAGTAAAGAACCGTGTCAAAGACATTTGCGCAAGAGAAAGCAACAACTTGCCTTTATTTTCTTATCATCTGTTGCGACAGTTCCATCAGTGACTAAACCAGAAGTCATGGCCTTTTCTAGGAAGTTGTTCAATTTTTCTTCATCATGGGTCGAGTTGGAGCCCGAAGTTTCAATTAAAACATAAAAAGGGCTGCCTGAAAGTGAGGTAGAACAGAATAAGCAGGTGCTCTGCGGTAAAAGCACAATAATTCAGTGCAGGTTCTGAAGCTCTTCCCAAGCTTGGCACATACCATGAGGTTGCTCTACTAGCCAGATTGCCTGGTGCCAGGTGGAAGGGCAGCTCAAGTGGCCATGTTTTACGTGTAAGGCGCTTCACTTACATGCTCTCTCCTTTACTCAGCCACCGCTTTTCAGAAAACTAACAGTTTTGTGGGAACAAGTGGAATTAAAGTCTTATCATTAAAGACTTCCACCAAACACATTTGAAATTGAACACTGGATGCAAAAATTATGAGGGATGCCCACATGCTCACTAACATCTATATCTAGAGAGAGAGAGAGATTTATAAAACTAGGCTAAAATTCTCCAAGCAGTACAATGCCTCTTTCTGTAGCACAAATGACACTGGTACCTGTCACCGGGCTGGACAGCTTGAGATGTCTCTCAACCAATTCCATGCACTTCTCATCCATGAACTCATAGGCAGACAGGATCTCTCCCAGCATGGCTCTGCAGGTTGTAAATGTTTCCAGAACCTTAGCAAAACTCTGACATCCTGCAGACAGAACACAGAGGGCAATCAGAAACAACACACAGCCCCCTAGAACCCTGTAAAAGGTTTTAAAAAGTCTGTCAGGCTTCGAGTCATCTTTCCCATCTCTAGGAAATGTAACCAGCTACCCTGTGTGGGTTTAGATCAGCAGGTCCTGTAACCGTTTGAGCTGGGGAAGGTTTCAGAGCAGTACAGGAGGAGGATATAGCAATTAATCTTTGCTGTCACAAGGAGCTTTTGAACACTCTAAGAGAGTTCATGCCAAAATATCTGCCCCACCCTCAGTTCTCACCACAGGCAAGAAGGCAACCTGAGAGGAATTTCAAGGCCAGTGTGAGAGTCCAGGCAAATTCCAGGGTCCACTGCCCATACTCCACAGGTCTGTCAGCATTTGGAGTCTCCTCATCCCCTCCTAGCAGTTCAGCTCTCTGCTCTCAAGGCCACATCTGATATGAGCAAGCTGTCCGAGAAGCCCCTGCTCACCTTGGATATTTGGAGAATAAAAAAGTCTCAGCAAAGGCTCCCCACAAACAACTACGCTACAAAGTTAAGCCTCAGCTTTTAAGCAGCTGTACCTGGCCAAGTACCCTGCTGATCCAGACCCTGCCTGCAGACTTGACTTCCCAGCCTTGCCTTGTCACTATGGACTCACCCAGTGACGGGTGGATTCTGGCTGTCCCTGCCCATTGTTACCAGATTTGCCCTGCTCACCTCGCTTGGGTGCTGTCAGACCGAGCACTCGTCAGCAAGGGCATGGCCCTGCCTGCCTCTGCATCCTGCTAGGCTCCTGGCTCCTCTCCCCTTGCAGAGCAGCCTGCTCTTGCAGATATTTTACACATTTCCACCACAGATATAAAATATCTGTGCAGGCCTTTTAACATACAGCATCATACCATTTCTCACAAACAAGCTGATGCTGAAGCTTTCTTCTCTCCATCCCTGTTCCCTTCCCAGCCTCTGAATTCAGGTGCGAAATTATTAATATCAGCTCCTACCTAGGAATGCCAGATTCACAGCCTTCGGTTTCTGAGGACACAGGATGGAAACAGCAGTGACAACTCCCAACGTCCCCTCAGAGCCAATGAAAAGCTGCTTCAAATCATAGCCGGTGTTATCTTTGCGCAGAGACGCCAAGCAGTCCAGAGCTGAGCCATCAGCCAGCACCTGTGGGAGCATGGAGACCCAGTCAAAGCACCAACGTAGGAATCCGCTGTCACAAGATTGTCTGCTCCCAAGCTGACAAAAAGCTGCCACTGGCCTTGAGCACTGAACACCTGCTCCAGCCCGCTCCCACAGCCTCATCACTGCGCCTCCACTCCCTCTATATCCCACCTATATGTGCTCTTCGTCCCTTCTATTTCCTTCCTGAGTTTTCCTTCAAACTCTTCTGTCTCTCTTTTTACAGTGCTGTTTGCACGTTCCAGCAGAACAAATAATAAAGTTTACCCCGCTTTTCTTGCCAGCAGTGGAAAAGATCAGACATTCTTTGCAGCCCTAGCTCTCACTAGTCAACAGAAACAAGGAACACTATTTGAAAGAGTGAGCACAGTTAACCAGAATTAAGTACGCCCTCCACCACCTGAGCCTTAAATCAAGGTTGAACGTCTCCAAGACATGTTACCAAAGACTGTTTTCATGCTAGAGGGATTCACCTGAGAGACAAAAGCTCTCCTTTCCAGGCCTACACAATAAAACCAAACCAGGCTTTTGTTACCTACCCAATTTATTTCCTGTTAGCTTTCTGCTCCGAAGACCCGAAATATTTTAGAAACACTAATCCCAGCCTTTACACACAGAGGCACAGACGTGCGTGGCAGAAGCAAGCTGAGGAACAGGAAAGACTCTAGGAGAAAGCCAACAGCCACACAAACCCAAAGCTGAGAGCTCTTTGAAAGTCGAGTGAGCAGCCACCAGGAGAGAGCGCTCGCTGTAGGATGGATCCAGCAGAGTAGTCCAGAGATCCACTGCTCCACAGAGGAACTAACCTCATTCAGGTAACCTGGGATCACCAAACCTCTCCCTACCTTCTTTTCATTTCTCTGGATTAAAAAGCCACCTCATATCCCTTCTGTCAGGAAGGACAGAATTGGAAGCTGGAAACTGCAGTGGCAATAACAGATGAACACATGAAGACACCTGTCCCTTCTTAAAAGGGCCATGCAAGGAAAAATTAAGAGTGGAAGCCTGAAGAGGAGCTTGTTTGCACAATGGACAGCTAAGGGCTAGAACAGCAGGAAACAAAGTGAGAAGCAGAAATTCAAACACAGAAGGGACCTGCCAGGTACTCGCCTTACCACTTCCAGTCCCAGCACCATCCCTCGGAGAGAGCCGTATCTCAAGAGCCGTAAGCCTCCAGCATTTGTGGCCACATTGCCGCCGATGTGACAGCTGCCTTTGGCTCCCAAGTCAAGTGGCATGACAAAGCCCCGCTCCTCCACGTACTCGTTGAGTTTCTCTAAGATGCAGCCAGCTTGGCACACAAGGATTCCTGAAACATAAATGTCCTGCTACAAGCCGATGCCCAAGCAGAAGGTGCCTCCTAAAGGTAAGTACAGGCAGATGCAACCACCTCTTCCTCCAAAGCTTGCTGGGATTCAATTTAAACGCACAAGGAGTCTGTGCGTGCTACAGGGCATTGTCTTACCCCTCCTCAAGCCACGAGAAGCTTTGGCATTGCCTTAATACCTGGTCAGTCACAACTCTGGTCAGGTAAAACATGACGACATTAAGTGTATCTCTGCCTGCTGTTCTCTTTCTCCCTTTGATTTAAGAGCTGAAATACTCACAGCAGCCTGATTCCTAACACTCCAAATCCAAACAACCTCCAAGTTTTCCCCATCCCTCCCTTCCCTCTGCTAGTGTAGTTAGCAGATGCCTTCTCCAACACCATCATTCTGCTCCACCTGCTGGGCTTCTCATTTAATTTACAAACAGATAATAGGATGTTGTGTTTCTCTTCTCTCTTTCTGCCACCAGATGTACTTTTACATCTCCTAGTGTAATAACCTGAGGATTACATCAGCACCAGGAGCCTGGATGAAACAAACCTCTGATGGCCCCTATGATGTTGCTGGGCTGAACCTGGCTCATCCTGTGGTTATTGTCTCCCTGGAAAATGGCTGGCTGAGGGCCCAGGGCTCACTTCTGTGCCTTGCGTCTCTGATATTTACCAGACACCTTGTCAAAGCTGATGATTTGGTCCATGAGAACAGTGGAGAGAATGATCTCATCAAAGACAGGAACGCTGCCCCCAACAAGGCCTGTGTTACCGCCCTGCGGGTTCACTGCCAGGTTCCTCTCATAGCAGTACCTGGAAGGAAAAAGGTTCCTGAAGTCTCGTGCACTTAGAGGCCATAACCCAGTCTATCAGAGGAGCTTCACCTCCACATGAACGTCTACCATTGCAAGAGTGCTCAGCGCTCCTTAAAATTAAACAGTGTTTAGTCTAAAAATTAAATTGATACAAAGGGACAGTTTCACTGCAAAAGCCCAACTCCTCACTAAGCTCACCCCAGCACTGAGCAAAGGAACGAACGCTTGGGGTTACCTCTGCGTGTATCTATGGACCTGCCACGCTACATCTGCCTGGAAATCGCTGCTCACTCGGTTTACACGTAAGCTATTTCAATAGCAGTCTCTGTTAACGACTTGACCTCCTCAGTGGGCTCTGACAAATGACCTCTGGCCATGGTTTAAGACATTACTGCCCTCCTCCTCCCTCCAAGAATTTAATGTCCTGTAGGCAACGACACAGGTGCAACTCAGCTGGCTTCACCTTCCAGTCTGCTGGCACAGCACCACCCAGCACAACCCTGCCAAACTCCGAGTTCTTGCACAACACCAGCAGTTGCTTCACAAACCCTGGCATTCCCGCACTCTGTGCCAAGAAAGATGGATTTGGTTCTGTAAAAGAAGTGCAAGGCTTTGCTTCTGCCTGATACCAACACAACACCGTCACTCTAGAAAAGCCCAGGGCCAGGGAAATAAAAGGTACAAGTCGAAATCCCTTTCTGACTTGAAAAATGTCAGCTCTCTGTATGAAAACATTCCTGAGTAGGAATCTGTAGGGGTTTTTTTAGACAAGCAACACTGCCTATCCATCAGTACATGCATACTGTCAGACTAGAAACAGCATGCAGTGCCTCACATCCTGGGAGCAGCCTGAACACAAGGAACATCAGGAAACACAGGCACTACCAGGGCAGTGGGGATATAGAGCTGAAGTCACCAGAGCTCAGCCACAAGACACGCAAAAAGAAAAGAGCTTCAGTAACTCCACCTTGAGCAATCAGTGGCTGAACATCCAGATGTTCCCCTCATCGCCGGACCCTCCCAGAATAAACCCAAGTTTCCTCACCACAAAGCCCAGCAGACAAGGTGCATGGTACCTGAGAACCTGCGACACCTCCGCTGTCGTCTGTGGCTTCAACATCAGCTTGCTACAGCCTGCAGTGAAAACAAGACACTGTCAGGGCAAGTTGTGGGCTCCACAGGGGTCAGAAAGAAGAAAAGGTGATAAAACACAACACGTGAAATAACTGTGAGGCTGAGTCATTTTAACCACTTTTAAACCCAACATTTTCCACAGTGGGCTTTCTTTTAACACACTGTATAAGCTTTGTCTGTATACGCAGACTTGGTTGCCAGTGGGGACAATGGGAAGTGTTTTATGTTCTCATGAAATCTTTTGACAAAAGCAACAGAAAATTCACAGCACTTGTTTTCTGAGGTTCAGCGAGACCTGTTAACTGAACCAGTCTGCTTCAGGAAAATAATTAAGAAGTTAACAGGCCTTAGGTATTTTTTTATTTTTTTAATTAAAACCTGAAAGATTACCAGAACTTAAGTAATTCTCAAAGGAATGTTTTCTATGAGGGAAAGTCATTCTGCCTGTAGAGATGTGGTCTGTAAAGGCATGGTCTGCTAGAAACGGAGATGAGATTTGGTTTGGCAGACTTTTCATTCTGGTACCTCAACAGAAGCAGAGAGGAGGCTTTACGAAAACTGCAAAACAAGCAAGCTCACTTACCTCGGACTGATTTAAGCCAGTCCACATTAAATGGTTTCAGTTCCTCTGGATTTGTGACAACTCTCCCTGGCATTACGCGCTCAAAAAAAGCCACATCGGTGTCGGACACACGGGAGAAGGGCAGCCGCTGCACCCCGTAACGTTCGCTGGTCAGCATCACCTCCCGGGAGCTGGCGGAGGCTACGTGGAGCCCTCTCCCACCCCACGGCCTGGGAACCGCATCTGTGGGCGCAGCTGGGGGGTTCCTCTGCTGAGGCGTCCCCAGGGTGGGAGCCGCGCTGTGCTGGGCTCGGATCCTCCCCGTCAGCCATCTCAGCTGCGTCCAGCGACTGCACGCAGAGGAGATTCCCATCATCCCCCTGAAAGGCAGA